GCGTTGACAGTATAGATTTACAGGTTGTGACCTTGATGTATAGGACAATGGGGTTCTCTCTCTGGAACATTCTCAGGTGTGTGGATAACAACGTTATTACCTAAGTATATAATGTTTGATTGTTTAGGATGTTTTTCGTGTAACCGTTTCGAGCATATTAGTTCACTTTACGGGCAACATGTCTTAATAATTTCTGCTGACTTTGCTCTACTTCTACTTTTGAAAGGGCCAAATTACATGTCCATTCCTTCTACTGGATCTAAAGCCCTGGGCAAATCTGCAAAAAAAGTGTAATATATTTGTGGGTTCAGCTAACAAATTACCAAATCCCTCTCAAAGAGGAATATAATACTCAACACCAGCAAAGAAACACTTCCTGTACATTCATATAAATTATATAAGACAGGTTGAATTAATGCCATCTGGTTTTCCCAAAACGCAAAGGATTTACTTGATTTTCTTTGCAATATATTCTCAGACCATGAGCCAAGTTCTATTATGTCAAAACATAAGTCTTTATCAGCTTTGTAAACTACTATCCCACGCGACAATTTTAAGGAAAGCTTTCTTCTGCATGGGGCATTTCTCACTACGCGTGGTGACCATGTAGTACCTCTCTCTTCAGGTTCAGAACAATTTATAAGTGATGTCAGCAGAAGTGACAAATAAATGTCAGACTGTTAACACATGTTTTAACAAAACTTACCTCGATTACAAAGGCTATGCAAATTACTGCAAAGGAGTTGTTCAAAGGACAGTACAAGTTCAATGGCAGTCTGTCTCGCAGTCCCTGAACTGTCTAGCAAGGCCAAAGCCTAGCAAGTGTAGATTCCCTTAGGTTCTGAATTTTCCATCTTTTCAATTTAAATGGGATTATTTGTTACCATCAAAATTATACATATTCAGAGACAAACCGTTAGTAAAGTACAGTTAAAATGACAATGTGAATACATTAGCAGTACGTCAGTTATAATGATATTTAGCAACATTGGTCAAGCTTCCAAAACAGGGAGGATATCAGAGTCAAACGACAACGATTTTCACAGACAGATGCTCATGGTGTAATTTATTGATATGCATGCGCCTGCCCAACTTGTATGGTCTCTGAACGGTTCTATCCGCCATCTTCTCAGGACACGTTAGTCGTATTTTATATTATTATTACATTTTAAACATATTTTTTTCACAACGTTCTATTACTTGTATCCATGTCTACCAGATTTCTACGTGAAGAGAATTAATCGTGGTCTTGTAAATGAACTACTTTTATAGTTTAAAACTTTGCAAAGAATTTAATGTCATGCTCTGTTTTCCTATGATATACCGTCAAAGTAACGTTCTGGTAAGAGTCTCAGGAAGCTGTATACTGTAGAATGTTACCAAAGTACGACACACTATTCTGCAGCCGTTCTTAGTGTAGATGGTACATTTAGTCCGAGGTCAAAATTTTCTTAAAGCATTACCCCATATATCACAACCCGTGAAGGTCCGGGTTAGAATTGATCTTCAGTAATCCATGCTTGTCGTAAGAGGTGACTAACGGGATCAGGTGGTCAGGCTCCTGACTTCCTTGACACATGGCATCGTATCCCAGTTACGTAGATCAATGTCCATGCTGTTGATCACAGGGTTGTCTGATCCGACTCGATTATTTACAGACCGCCGATATATAGCCAGAATATTGCCGTACAAAGCAGCCAACCACATGCATCTTCTAACCATCCCCGCATTTCCCCTTGGACTGAACCATAATCACGTGCTACATCTACGATTCTGAAACTCGGCTCCCACAAGTTAAACTCATCTGTGCTCGCCAGTAATAACCGACTCTTGAGAAAACCAACAAGTGACTATTTCAATTGACAACAAACGAGAATCCCTGTCAGCCTGTGTACCATATGTTCCTGTATGTCGATGTTCTGTCATACACCCTTCATTATCCCAAACATAACTGTATATATATGGTCAGACAGCTGACAGTGATCGCACATATTACCGAGACCATGTCCACAAACGTGTGACTCTCCTTATACCTAATTGTACACATGAGGGTTTCTGCAACCCAGCCATGTCTGAATACCGAATACCTGAATGTATTTGTAAACTGTATTTTGTCATGTGTCAGGTTACCAAAGCAAATGTAGTGCTTGTCTATTCATGGAATCAGAATGTGGGAATATCAATGAATATATTTGATATCCGAGCGTCATACGCCGACTGCCGCAACCATGCTGTCTGAACAACGAGTATGTTGCTCTCTTGAGGTAGGTTTAGAGAACACGAGCAGTCAGCACCAGTGTCACGATCTCGCGATTCTACGTGATTAATGTTGTAAGGGGCGTTGTGGTAGCCCAGTGGTTAAAGCGTTTGCTCGTCACGCCGAACACCCGGGTTCGATTCCCCACAAGGACACAATGTGTAAAGCCAATTTCTGGTGTTCCCCGCCGTGATATTGCTGGAATATTGCTAAAAGAGACGTAAAACTGAACTCACTCACTCACTAATGTTGTGAATATCTATACACAATGGCATTTAGAATTTAGTGATTATTGCTTGTTTCTTTCCTGGAAGGTATAGGTAATATCAGAGTTGAATATCTAAAACCATCATCAAAATTTTTTAAACTCGACAACGTTCGTGTTTTGTATTATTTTCAATGGTTCTATTACGTCTATGAAGAACACACTCAGTCTGATTTAATAGTTGTTGGCATTAGGAAATACATTATAAAATTAAAACATAGTGTCATTTTGCCCTGTAGATACAACGAGCTTTGTTTTTGGAACTGCCGAAGTGAGTCATGCAGTTGCCATTACAAGTGACATGCACTGAAATTGTAATGTTTCCTCTAATTGAACATTTTAAGTGGTGAAACATTAACATGCTGACACAACCTGAACTTTTATCTTGAATATCTTGCATAGTCCTTATCTTGATTGCATAGGTCTAATTTGAAGGAAGGGTTCGTGCTGAGTATGATTGTAACAGCATGTGTGTTATGTCGCTATTAAGCTTTGTAAGTAGGAAATAGGCTGTGAAGCAAGCATTACCACAGAGCTGAACATTTTGCCAGTATAAATATCCAGCTCACCTAAGCACACACGAGTTGCTTCAAAGCAATGACTGTTTAATGAATTTGTTCTTGGGCCATCCCCATAAATAGCGACCGGCATCGGTAGGAAGATTGGCTGTTCTCTTCAGTGACATAAATGGGAATTCTGGAATAACTTAATTGATAAAGTGTTCTTAATTGCAGTGTTTTAGAAACAATGACTATTGATATGCATGTTGCAAACTGTGTCATATTGTAGTTAATATTATACGTGGCAAACATGCTTCTGTCAATGTATTGTTAGACTCAAAGGTTAATTACTGATGTAGTTCATGAAATATGATGCTGAAGAAATAGTGCTTTGTGTAGATGTACAGTTACGTTTGAATTTGAAGACACGTAGATCTAAGAATGTAACACTTACTCTATTAATGGTGTAAATAATGACAGACTAATGAAACTAGTATTTATAGATACATTTACAACTTATATTATAGGTGTTGTTCTCCTATTAAATCATCAATAACACGGTGTCATGTCTCGTGATGTGAATATAAATATGGATGTGGGTGTCATTTGCCTGTGAATATGTGAAGTCTTTGCGAATATGAGATGATTAATGTGATTTGACGTATATATGACAGTACTGTAAATGTGATTGTGGTTATGATTACATATGTCATCTATGTTATGGTATGCAGTGTACAGTATTTTATATAAGTGATCTTATTTTACGTATATTATAAGTGTGATTGATGTTATGCATGCTATGAAATGGTTATGTTATGTTATCAATATGTTTATATATGTCATATTATTTATGTTATCATATTATCGGTAAGATGGAGTACAATGTATTTACCTTTATTTCATTATACCATGCTTCCAAGTGATATTATTACCTGTAATGCCTTTGACAAAAAGTTTCGTTGATGCATCGTCGTGTGAAACTGGGGACATACCAGTTATGACCTAAGGCGCCTATGAGCACACTTATCCCGCTCCTCCATCTCCTAGTCACGCATCGGACAGAAAATGCCTATTCTGCACATCGTTATTGTTGCGTTGTCAAGTGCTACACTAAATGATTGTTGTATATTACTATATGTGTCTGATATAGACGTTGATGATCTCTATAGCCGCTCAAGTTATCAGTATTCCTTTGTGGAATGAGCAATAGTTCCAGCTATGGCTGTGATCTTAATCCAGAACACTGCTCCCCAGACTATGGCGTGTTATATAGTACTGGTGGACATATCTTATGTTAAGACTTCAAGGTGACGTACATCATGTTATGAGATATATACCAACAGCATGATATGGGATTTAAACCAACGAAGCCAGAGTCACATTATTATACAGAGCTTACGTGAGCGTGAAAGTTGTTTTAAGCTGCTTTGAGCAATATTCTAGCAATATGCAATATGAGTTCAGTATATCACCGTTGGGTCCCCAGCATCCCCTTGATGATCTCATGGGATTCGACTGAATTGGTTCGGATGGTATTCCTCTCCGCCTTGTCTGGCTGCGTGTCATCGTGTCCCGCGTGTCTGGATCGCTGCCCTTCATTTTCTTCTTCGGCTTGTCCAGACTCGATTATTTAAAACCTATCGTGATACAGCCTGCGTCTAAGTCCATCAGTATCATTCAGCACACTCTCTCACTCATTCAATCACAATAGAAAAGTAATAGGTGCAAACGACGTCGACTCTATCTTACGAAACGACATCGTGAATATCCTTACTAGTTTCAAACTATTATAAACAACGACTGTTATAATCTTTACCTTAAGTAAGTACAAACATCACATGCAAAATGTAACTGACAAAAACAAAGCACGCTTTGCTCTCAAGGAAAACATGACCTGCTGGGTATGACTCACATCCTTTGTTGTCGAAGACAATCGCGTGATGGTCGAGGAACAAAGAAGCAATAACATAACACCAGCTCAGACAGAAATAATCTTAGTTATCTTGCACACAAAGAACAGATCTTGGACTGATGAAGTCTATTCAATGATGTGTATATATCTGCACCTGTATCTACTGTCTTGTGTTACAAACATCCATATGTAAAATGATCGTAACCTTGTCAATTTAAAACTCTTCTGTTTCAAAATATGAGGAGTGTTTGTTTACATTTAAATTTAATAGGAAACTAAATGTTCTAGGTTAAGTGTTTTCGTTACGTGCACATTGTAAGGATACTCGAAGATTACAAAACAGATGTCTCAAATCGGCTGGAACAACAAACTACACAAGCAAGCTAAGGTTCATTGAAAAGTATCCGTTCTCATCATGTCAATTTTCTACCTCAATAAGTGCACTAATGGCTTGCATTGAAACACAACTTTTCGCCTCGATTTTTTTTGTTTTCATTTTACTTCAGGGAGTTTAACATTTAACAAAAAATACAATTCTAATCATTACACTCAACTAAAAACTATATATCCATATGGTGGTGGATATCATTCCCTCCCTGATGTCACAGATTCATCTAACGGAATGGGATATTCAGCATCCCACAATCTCTTTATTTCTCGAGAAAGCTAAAGTAAGGATGACTTTGGGCTACCATTGGAATGGAATGATTATTGCTATGCTATGGGGTCTGTACCAGAGACTATGTCATCCATCGACACAGTATAGCTGATGTTAAATTTCAATTTGTCCACCTGCACATTTCATGTGCTGAAACAGTATCCAATGCAATTAGAAAGTTAACAATGACACCACTGACATATATTAAACAGAAGTCAGCAATATTCCAACGGTCTGTACATACTGGAGTCTGGATCCTGATAACATCAACATCATACTACGTTGTGGATATACTGACACAAAATTATCATACTATATCATTATAGGATCTCTACTGTAATTATCCCAAACAGCAAATCCATGAGTAGAGCATTTAAAGAAACAAGGATCCTGTATTAAAAATCAATAATGTATTTGTATATTTATTCACTGTAATATCCACATCTACATCTTGCTTGTCAATTCACAGTACTGTTGTACCTGGCCTATATTTTCAATGTCAGTTACAATATATTCTCCGTCTACATTAGAGGAGATGAATAAAAATTATAATTCATTGTTTAATAGCATAATAGAATCCCATGTAAATGTTTGTGTTTAGTCACATATATTATACAAATTAAGAGTTAACACAACAATATTTAACTAATATAAATTATTTAGATTATATATACATATTTTATGAATGTAATGATCAAAACATGCTGATGAGGTAACATTTCACAAACATCAACAATATGGCATTTAAATGTAATGGTGTTATAACGTATGGTGTTTCATGTACTCGTTAACAAACGCAGGGGATACTGAGTCTGTCGCACTCCTCATGCAGCGCATGACCAAGTTCGACCAACATAGCCCTTCCCATTCATATACAAATGGTGTGTTCAGTGGGTGAAATGTCTGGGGTAACTGCTGGCCATGTCATTCCATGGAGCGGGGTTTGGTTGAAGTGAGCATTTACGACTCCTGCACCGCAAGCACGGGTGTTGTGTCCTGAAAGACAAACATGTCTTGCATACGGACAAACTATGGTGTCATACGTTTCTCGGCTATTACTGTTTAATGACCCTCTCGTGAACAATATGAAGTGGAACTGGCTCTGCCCAGCGTCATAACCGACCAAGAGTCAAATCCGTGATGAGGTCTCAAGTTGACATTGGCTTGAAGGTTATTGCGATATCACCAGACATGACCACGTCTATCAAGGCATAAGAACACCTGAAACCAGACACGTGAAGAGTGACGATAATTTCAGTTCTGCCACTGTGTACACCATAGACATCTATTTCCAAAATGACGATTTGTAAGGTGCGTCACAACACGTGGCCACAGAACACGGAGATGAGCTGCATGTGAACGATTTCTAAAGTCTTTATATCCTAATCCAGTAGCCTGATGAAACTTTGAGGCAATATCGATTATCCGTTTGAGCTCGATTTCGTAATCGATCCTGTACTCCTGTTGTAGACCAAAGACGCCCTGAGCAGTGCCTATCGTCAACATATTGGGTTTGCTGGTACCTGTTCCATAGTCTGCTAATCACAGACTGCGAGATATCGAACGTATTGGCTACTGCACACTTACTGCTGCCAGTTTCAAGCATGCCAAAAGCCCATAGAAGCTCCGCGTCGCTAGTTGCTACCTCATCTTCAATGGGATCCCCTGAAAAGGAGACAGAGAATTGTGAAGAAATAATCACAGGCTTTATAAAAACAAGGCTGAACGTGGAGGAAGACATTCCCATTGAGAGGGCCCACCGCCTGGGGCCAATCAGGAACAGAGCTGGAGATGGGCCACGCCCCATTGTTGCCAAATTTGCATTCGACAAAGACCGCGAAACCGTCAGGAGGGCATCACCTACAAACCTAAAAGGAACCTTTTGGGAATCAACCCCCAGTTCGCGCCTGAAATTTCACAGAGACGACGGGCACTCATACCTCTGTTAAAAGCGGCAAGTCTGAAAGGAAAAAGTGCAGCCTTATTGGTGACAAACTCTTTATTGAAGGCAGACGTGTATACTCAAGTCCTTCCCGTCCCATTGGTGAAACGTCTCATATCTAGGTATAATTTTTAGCAGGGAATGTACTTTCACGTCCGCTAGGAAAGCACTTTGTGACAAGAGTTTAAAAGATATGAACTACGTTTTATCTAAAGCCAGACATTTCAATCTATCTATTACTTGCCAGTTAAACTCTTTGACGTACTTGTCGTTCCAATTTTGACATGGGTGTGAAATATGGGGGTTTGAAAACTTAAGTATTACGGAAAATATCCATTTAACACTTTTAAGGAAATTACTTAGGGTAAAGAAAAATGCACCATTATATATGATTTATGCAGAGACAGACCGAAGACCACTCCCTATTTTTATTTATACTAAAGTGATATGCTACTGGTCAAGATTAATTACAGGAAAATACTCAAAGCTGGCAAACATGCTACTACATATTTTATCAAATAATACATCTAATAACAATGGCTATCATGCATCAGAGACATAATAATAAAGACGGGAAATAATGATGTATGGATTAACCATGCATTTGCCAATAGGGATTGGATTCAATGTAAAGTCAAGAATAGCCTTATAGATCTTTATATACAAAAATGGCATTCAGATATCGAAGCATCATCAAAGGGTAGATTTCATAAGATTGTCAAAAAACAACACTGATATTGATTTTTATTTACATCACCTACCTGAAAAATATATATTCAATTTGTTACATTTTAATCTGCCAAATCATCGTTTTCCTGTTGAAACTGGAAGATTGTTCAATATCGATTATAATTATAGAAAATGTACATTGTGTACCTTAAATCAGGAGACACAGTAGTACTGACGCCAATGTTGTGATTGCTTAATGCAAGGAATGATAAGAAATGTGTTTTGCTAGAGCGGCTTTCATGTAAACAAGTTGCATACTCTTTCAGAATTTGCAATGTTATGATGCCTCCGGCTATCAATATGTAGTCTTGTTAGCATGAGCAGAGTCGGTTGCTAATCTACACAAGGTCGAATCTATTAAATATTTTTCTGCCTTAGACCTAATCTTAAAACTTGTATAGCATTCATATCATGTGCCAGATGCTAATATATTTCTCCAGTCTTGGATGTGCATATCTTCACATAGTTTGCAAAATGTTAACAATATTGGCTATACACGTTTTGGTAGACCCAAGCATAACCAAGATCTAAACCTAATGCAATATGTCTAACATTGCTTGCTCAGGTCTATCTACCTATTGAATCAAGATTAACCAACATTTCGTAAGTCGTATGATACAGTTTTGCCAGTATTTATTGTATTTCACCGAACTATGTAAAAACAGTTGTAAAAATATTGGAGATAATGTTCAATGTAATGCTTAAGAAATAAGCATTTTTTTAGCCGAAAACATTTCTCTTGTCAAAATAATACAGAACGGTTAAGAACCGAATGTGCCCTTTTTGTCGAAGATTAAAATTGAACATTAGACCATGTACAATGTATTTTAGAGATAATGTTAAATTTAATACTTAAGCCAAAAGCATTTTTTTAGCCGAAGACATTTCTCTAGTCACAATAATACAGAGCGGTGCCCTTTTCGCCTGAGATTAGTTTTGTATGGCATGTAAAACTGATGCTGATCCGTTATATAATTATACCCTCGACATACGCACTTTGAAATATTTTTACGTAATGTGTGCGTTTTGATGTTACATATGGCATTTAATGAAGACGCTGACTGGATGTTCAAAAACTGTTTTGTATGTCTCGGTCTTATATAACGTCAATCATATAGACATCAAACCAACCTTTTGCAAACTTACTAATGTTTCTACACCACATGTTGGCATTTTGAAGTTATAATAAGAAGTGATAATTGTGTTGTTGCTGGAGCGGCATTGATGTAAACATGTTTGAGTTTAAGTTACAAAATGTACATGCTTTTTTCAGATTTTACAGTTTTATTATGTCTCTCGTATCAATATTCAGACTTGTACATTCAAATCCAGCACAAGCATAGTCGGTTGCCAATGTACACAAGGTCGAATCTATTAAACATTTAACTGCCTTAGGGCTAATCTTAAAACTAATGTGGCATATTACGTCACTAACATAGACATCAAACATCAGCCTTTTGACTTTAGCATTGTCATTTCTTGTACACATTCACGTGTTTTTGTGGGATATTTACTCCAGGTTCCTATTACTGAGAAAATAATTATCACACGGTTTTGTCAACTATTTCCAGTGCTCACGATGGCGCTATTCAGTTTAAACGTTCCATTCTTCCTACCTATTGTTAGCATGTGATACAACATCCATAACAAAACAGCTTGAATTAAAGAATTTGCCCGATAATTCCCGACATGTTTAGTTATTGGAACAGTATTTGTACAACAGTGATGTATTTAATCGAATTTGCAGCACACATATCGTGAGGCATGGCACCACCTTGTTTTTGCATGCCCTTTGAATTAGCCCACTTATTGTGACTTCAGCAGTGTAACATGTACAATGTTTTTGTCATGTTCTTCGCTGCTATTTTGCCTTTCACGCCTTGTGGTGTCCTGTGTCGCTAATAGATTGCAAGTGGCTATTCTCTGGCGTTGACAGTATAGATTTACAGGTTGTGACCCTGATGTTTAGGACAATGGGGTTCTCTCTCTGGAACATTCTCTGGTGTGTGGATAACAACGTTATTACCTAAGTGTATAATGTTTGATTGTTTAAGATGGTTTCCGTAAAACATTTCAGTTCACTTTACGGGTAACATATCTTCGTAATTTCTGCTGACTTTGCTCTATCTTCACTTTTGAAAGGGCCAAATTACATGTCCATTCCTTCTACTCGATTCAAAAGTCTGCACACAAAGGGTGAAATATTTGTGGGTTCAGCAAACATTTTACCAAATCCCTGTCTCAAAGAGACACAAGCAAGTTAACATTTCCTGTACATTCATATAAGTTATATTACAGTCCGTTTAGTTTCATTTAAGACTTATGAATTGCTCACTAACACAAAATCTAATAATTGCAACAAACTAAATTTTGCAGTCATATGGAATCGACAGACCAACTCTGAGGATTTGTCTCATAATTTTGGACACCTTTTTTATTCGGGTGTCCAAAATTATGTCTCTACAAATTACTGCAAAGGAGTTGCAGTTCAAAATAGGGTGACAGTACAAGTTCAATGGCAGTCTGTCTCACAGTCCCTGAACCCTATTATTGTCCCTACTGCCTAGCAATGCTTAAGTTCTAAATGAAGCAAGTCTACATTTCTCAGGTTCTGAATTTCCCAACTCACTGGGGCTCCTGTTCAATTCAAATTGGATTATTTGTTACTATCAGACTTTAAGCTTTAGTCTAGTTCAATGGCAGTACAGTTACAATGACAATATATATACACTATAGCAGTACGTCAGTTATAATGATATTTAGCAACATTGGTCAAGCTTCCAAAACAGGTAGGATATCAAGAGTCAAACGATAACAGACTTCACAGACTGCTGGTATTGATGTAATTTGATGAAGGGCATGTGCCTGTCCCACTTGTATGGCTTTCTGAACGGTTCTGTTACATACCGAATTAGTCTAGTTTTTTCAAAGGTGTCCAGGATATTCTCGACTGTCAGGTCTTAAAGAACAATGGGATCCAATGTCCATCTTTATTATATGGCCATTTTAGGAATAGAATGATGCTTTTACCACTTTCTAAGGACTATGGATAGGAGGTTGTCACTTGTATTTGTGCACAGTTTGTCACATGTAGCATTATCCAACAGTATATCATGTATTTACCCATTTCTTTGTTCAGGAAAAGTAAATGAGGAAATGTCATCATGTGATTCAACTGATGTAATTCAGTGGGATGTTCAACGTAAACAGAACCTTTCAATAAATGCTATGTTATACCACCGACAACGGACAAGAATTAAAACCAGAAGTGCATTCCACGACTTGGGTAAAGGCGATGGAAAGGAAATGGTTCAATGGAGTTCCTGGAAAGCGGAAGGTCATTAACAACCTGGACATATAAAAAAAATGTCAAAAGATTATCCTTGTTGTTACTACTGCTAATTTATAATTTGTATAAATTAATTCACACCGGCGTGTGCTCTGTATGCTGCTAACACAGTTGTTAGTTAAACATGTGATAATGTATTTTCAAAGAGATGAGTCTTTGGGTCTTTTTTAAGGAGTAACTGATATAGCTGCCTGCCGCTCGGTGTTACAGGGATAAAACAAGACTGGGCGGCCCGTATGTACGGTGTCTTGCTGGTGTCCATTCTAATCTGCAGCGTGGTATATCTTCGGGCTTGCACTATTAAACCGGCATGGGTCCAAACTGGTACAACCATCGACCATTTCTTTTTCTTTCCCCTTCATTATGTTTCTTACTCATGAATCTCAGATTATCGAAGGCTTTCATTTTCCTTTTTCTAAAATCCCCCATTTGTGTTACGACAGTTTTCTTAGCGATTATGTCACTAATTGTCGTTTCAACAAAGTTCATCTTCTGGTTGTAGTGGTTCTCTGGTTTGCTGTGAGAGACAGATCGATGCATATGGAGCCAATGTGACACAACAGGCGTTGACACCAAAACATTGTTAAGCGAGTGGGAACTGTGATAATATCCAGGATGGACAAGTTTATTTTGGGTAGGACTTCAACACTCTCTGTCATGAAAGGGATGTCTCTTTGACTTGCGTCGTTTAATGTTACTGTAGACAAGGTTGAAGACAACAAATACTTGCTTTGGTGATCCTCTTTAATATTCTAACATTGTCTCTGCGCTTTTACACTCTCTTATTTCTTTTCAAAGGCATTGACCCGTTACAAGTATTGGAAGTGGCATCTGCATGGAGTACTGTATCCTTTCTTTCCTCGATCGGTCCCTGAACCATATTATTTTCTACCTAACCCTTACAGTGAATATAAAGCCATGATGGTAGTTTTTCGTCAGGTTCAGGATCTTCCATTTCAGTTAGGTTCTCTATAACTTTTCTATTGTATCTATGCAAAATATATTACGAGTTATTCTGATTGCTTCCTTGTGTCGCCGTATGTGACAGTTGTGGTTTACATGTTTTACTGACATTTGTTAATAAACGTGGTGAGCACTGGATATTGGATATGCTTACATATCTATGTTTAGAATCTCAGGACCAATTTGTCGAAATGCATATATGACTCTTGCTCAGAAGTTGTTCGATCACGTTTAAAATATTCAAGTTTTCAAGGAAGTTTTCAAACAATTTGTGGTAGACATTTCACATTGTTTGATCGGCATTCCAGAAGTTGGTGGCTAAAAAATGAAACGTACAACTGTATGGATGGCAACTTATCTATTGCATAGAGCGACGTTTCGATGTAGATTCTTACACCGTTATCAAGCTAAAAGCGAATGCAACCAAATGATGAGAGGTATATATATACATAGTATGTTTTGACAAACAGCAGAATAACATTAACAACGACATGTATTTGAATAACAACTTGTACACAATTAGGAGAGGCCAGTAGGGGACTAAGAACAACAAATCAGACTAGTGACGAAAATAAATAAAAAGTTGTTATCCATAAAGTTGTATGTTTCATTTTGACACATTTCGCATTTGACGAAAAATGACAAAAACGATGTCCGATGCATTTCCCAATTGTGACTAGAATGTTTTCAGGGAACAATTGACTATCCTTTCCAATTCTGTCTGGTGCTTCCTATGGGACACGATCCGCACACTTTTTTATGCAAACACGTGGTATCATCACTATTTGGTATTGATTCATAACCACATGCTCATGATATAGTCGGAATCGTACGGTCGACTTTGCTTTTGGCAGAGACTTCTTGTTGGTGTGGAAAGGGTTTGATCGATGTATTTACTTAAACTGTTTCGCTCACTAAATGAAAGTAACTGCCTGTGTACATGTGTAGCGGAGGATGGGATCATCCAGTATAACAAATTTGGGAGACAATTTTGTCGCCTTCTATGACGTCTATGTATTTGTTGTGATGCAGAAGGTATAAACCTCAGTTGAAGGTACTTGTTGGATAATAGACGATTGACGCTGTTTAACCTTTAGTATTGTTGGATCCTCTGGCTTGGCTCTCACTAAAAACTAATTGAAAATGCAGCTGATATGATAAGAAATGGTTTAGTATATAATGTATTATATATTATTTCACATAAGCAATATGTAAAGATTAAATATATATCTGTGCAGAAAACATCGACATCGTGTAAAAATGACAAAGACGGATTACTCTCACTATTTATGACATTTGATTTCCGACAGTTTTACATCTTTGACTGTCGTGAAATGATGTATTACCATGTACTGTAATGCCCTAAAAGCTCCTGGATGGAATACGTTCACTAGACCAGGCACACAGCGTACTGGGACTTCTGCCATTCATCGTAATGATATTGTTGAAAGTGGTGACAATTTCAAATTGCTGAGTGCATAAGTGAACGACACCGCTTCGAACGTTATTTCATTTGTATGACGGCGTCAGTTTAATGTGCGAGGCACGTCCCAAGGAATACAGGATAAGATCGTTTTAATTTAACAAATATTTTTTTCCACGAAATTCAGGGACACGAGCATAATCATGACAATCTCATCTATTCAAATCTATTATCCTTACCCAAGATCAGAGGATTCTGTCAAGTGAAAGAAAGGCAACTCTTCGCAGCAAATTGCAGCGCCTTAGATGACTGCACCACTTACAAGTCATATGTGATCGGGCGGTGGGGTAGTCTAGTGGTTAAAGCGTTTGCTCCTCACTCCGAAGACCCGGTTTCGATCCCCCAAATGGTGCAATGTGTGAAGCCCATTTCTGCTGTCGGCCGCCGTTATATTGATGGAATGTTGCTAAAAGCGGTGTAAAGCTAAACTCACTCACTCACTCACTCATAGGTGATCCTTGATATCACTCAATATGGTCTTTGCTACAACCTACCACCATTTAGAATATTGCTAATAGCGGCTACAAACCATTCTTATTCACACTACGGTTGGCAACATCCGGACGCTTTAACCACTAGGCTACCCAAGCGCCCCGCCGCCAACCATAAACCATATAGAACTATATAGATTTTAATAAACATAATATTTTTGCAAAACCTGTACAAGAAAAACGGTATCGGTATCCTTGTGCAGGACGGTAAAGAATTTGGAGAAAGGGAAGAGTTAACTTTGTTCACTGTCATTTATTTCCCATGAGGCTGACGTCCATTTCTTCCGGGGTAATGACATCTGTACAAAACAGTACATGTGTCGGATTCTATTCTTACGGATTTGTTGATCCCAACTTCTGCAATCTGTACTGCTAAAAAATACCTATAGGTTAAACTTTTTTTTCCATTTTACAATATGTGAAAAAGCTATAACTGAGTGAACAAAGTTCCACGATGTAAACGCCCACAGTTGTTTTAATCAGAATATATTGTTGCAAAAATTCTAACTGTCAATATAAATTAGCCTATGTGCGTTGGTATAAAACAATATCCCCTAGTTTCAAATATACAAGTTTCAGATTTCGGTATCGAAATACTAGTTAGTGTCGAAAAACGTTGGCCCTAAATGGCAAATACAAAACCATCAAGTACTCCCACTGATTCAAATGTGTTTAAAAACCATTTAGAAAATGAAAAAGTCGTAAAATGCCAAAGCAATTCCATAAAACATTGAGACAAATGACAGTCGTAATCGTTTTGACAATGTCCAGACAAACTAATACTTCAGAAGGAATCTTGCTTATGGAAAACAGGCTTAATAATTCAGTAAGAAATGTTCCTCTGTCGTGTTCTCGTTACAATAACGAACGGGGCATACAAGAAAATGTTATATTTTTACTATTTGTCAAAGCTTGTTCAGCATGGATTTAAACAAAGCAATTGATATCAAGTCAAATGCTTGCAGGATACACTGTGACTGTTAGTAATGGTCGAGCAAACTGAAATTTTGAAACCATTTGTACGTGTAGTTGATGATGAGCATATTTCAAAATGCTTCTGTATGCCGTTAATGAGTATTGATTTATGAAATTTTCAGTTAAACCTCATGTTTATATAAAGGCACATAAAAACAACCCGCTGGACTAAGCATTCCGAAGAAACAGGTTAGCGTTTAACAAATATATACATTCAGTTGATCAGTGATTTCGTTTTGCAAATATCGTCCATATCTCGATGTCATTCTTAATGCGTTGGCATTGAGCATCACGCTAACTCCTAACTTACTATTACGTATTCTTTGAGGATGGGTATCTCGCATTGTCATGATGATAAATTTATCATCCAAAACTGTGTTCCAATGGATATATTGATTGTGTGAGATCAAACGATATCTCCTAGGAGATATAGTTTTGACAGTAGATTTTGTACAATGCCATTACGTCATCCATTACATGACTCCCAATGCTATGACGTCAAAAACCTGATGGCGTTACAATGCTATGACATCGCAAGTCTAAGGCAGTACCGTGTTCAGAGATGTTCATTTTTCATTGAAATCAAGTATACTGATAACACTACAAATATCCTCGGCAACTTTATCAACTCGTGTTGATATAATTAATATCAGTAGACATTTGGGTTACATTCTCTATGTATCATGTATCATGTATCACAAGTATCCCTTCGTCAAGGAGGGTCTAGCTGTCAGGTTCAATCACAGCACTGGCTGAACATTCAGAGGATGTGTATTCAATCCTCAGTAAACATCGGCATCTGGTAAAAATGTCCCTTGGAATTTAGACGGATTATCATACGACTCTTTTTAATAAATATTCATAGTTGGCTTGGTTGATATTGTTCGATTGATCTTCAGAGTCGTATATGGAATAATGCAATTAATATTTATAAGGCCTATCACAATGTAACATAACATGTATGTTTTCCCCCTTCTGCTCAGAACGAAAACTGTTTAATGTCCCTGGTATACATGAAAGGAACCGCATTACATGTAATGGGAGGTCTCGTTTACAGTTTGTTAAGCTATTCCAGAGAGTAAACCAAAAAGCAGTATTGCAAGGATCAAAAGTATTTCCCGTTTTCGATTAAGTGTCCAAAGAATGACCATCACACAGTGTGCCAAAAAACGACATTATCTATGGCTTCATGTAGTCGATCAATAGCATTCACGTTTCCCTTGTATCCCACCCGTGAAGATCAATGTTAGAATCTTCTTGTAATCAGAGGCGGCTAACGGGATTGGGTGGTGAGGCTTGCTGACGTGTTTGACACATGTCATCGTATCTCAGTTGCGTAGATCGATGCTCATGAAGTTGATCACTGGATTGCCTGGTCCAGATTCGTTTATTTACATCTACCGCCACAATACAGTACGTTAAACAAACACAAACAAAATCCCTAGTATCAATAAGAAGGTGCCGTTCACTGTTCTGGCTTATTCTTCATCTTCTTGCTCCTGACTCAGTAGGTCATAACGATGCTGTTGAAGAAGACGTTAATACAGCTGTTATTAACTTTCTTCACCTCTTCTTGACTAACAACTATCACCTATTCAAGTACATTTTAGACAATATGGTATAAAGAATATGTGTCTTCTCTGTACAAATCCTGGTACCTTTAAAAGAGGGTTATTATTAAATTACTAGCATTTGTGCCGAAACATCATATTGAAATTATAAAGCTGAAAGTCCAGTCTTTATGAATAGCAGTAGTCATTAGTGGAAGTTAAAGTCCATTTTTGGTTACATTTCTTTAAACAGATATAAGCCAGGCACCTACAATCGTTGTTTAATTCCAAGTTTGTCGCCACCATAACCGTACTCCTGGGTTTCACCAAAGAGTGGTAAAGGTCCAACACATGTGCCACTTTGGGGCTCTCCTCGTTCAGTAAACTGGCACGAAGCGGAATACCAGTGAAAGCGGCATTAAACCCAACTCGCTCTCTGACTATGAATAAACGTGTCACATTTATGGTTTGCTCTTGTCACGTATGAGTGAGTAAGTTCGAGGTGACAGACTAACACCGATTACTTTAAGGTAGTCTTACACCAATGCCTGAAAAATCCTTGTATAAGAAAAAGAGGTGACGCAGAACGTAAACGTTCAGCGCTTTGGTAATGGGGACAGGTAGAGCACTGACGTTCTATAGTGAGTTTAGCAATATTCCAGTAATATCACAGCAGGTGACACCAGAAATTGGCTTCACACATTGTACCCATGTGGAAAATAGAACCCGGGTCTTCGGTGTGACGAGCGAACGCATTGACCACTAGGCGACCCCACCACCCCCTGATGTTCTTTAACGTCAACGACAGAGAATCACCAGTTCCGATTATCCGCCAAAACATTCCATTGGGTGTTAAGAGAAAACTATGCCACGAAAATTAAACGAATTAGATAACAAAGATAAATCGAGTGAGGGTAAGGTAAGGCGTT